GATGATAGGTGGAGCCAATTCAAATGCATGATCATGGATGGAAGAAGTCATAACTAAAGTTTGGACAAATATAGCTTAATTTTCTTTAATATACCCAAAGAATATAATATTCTTCGGTCAGCTTAGGTAACGTTGCTGGATTAGTTGGCAATAGTTTTATTTATCTATCTATTTTCTCTGTTAACATCACTTTTTTTTCATGTTTTTATACTCCAACAAAATGGTTGACACCTTAAAAATAATAATGTTAAGCACTGGTGTCAACATATTTATAAGAAACTGATGCCGAAATTTGAGATATTGAGAGTCTATATGAACATTAATTTATCATTATTACAAATTGTTATATTAAGACACTGCAACACTGAATCAGCAGTTCTTGGATAATATAGCAGTCAATGTATTCTACAATATTTCTTGAGGAGGAATCTATCCAGGACGGAAGACAATTAAAATATGCCTCTTTTTTCTAAAATTATATGAACGAGTGCCTCTTTTTGTCTACATCGAATGTATCATTTGTTGAGGATACTTTGGCCCAATCTAAGGCATAATTCCTGTAACAGATTTGACCCCACTATTCTAGCCTAATTATATTTTAATCTAGCTCAATTATGGGATATTCTTTCCATCAATTTCATTGTAATTAAGCTTTAAATATTCTTGATTGATTTGAAAGCACCTTGTAAATCTATATAAATAGACATACTCATCATCACTAAGAGCAATGTGGTGATTTATTCTTCAAAGATTTTCATGGTATCGGAGCCATTCTTGGATTAACATCCATTGATCCTTCAATCTCATCATGGCTCTAGAATCCACACTCCTCTTTCAACACCATGATCCACATGGTAACAATTAAACTTTCCTCCTCAAACTACCTCCTGTGGAAAAGCCAACTGCTCCCTCTTCTTGAGAGTCAAGCACTACTCGGTCATGTAGATGGAACCCTTGACCCTCCACCAAGATTTGACCCACCCACCTCCCAAACACCGAACACCAAATACTTAGATTGGAAAACAACAAATCAGAAGCTTCTCAGCCTTCTTCTCTCCTCCCTCACCAAGGAGGCCATGGCTGAGGTCATCAACCTCTCCACCTCACGCGAGTCTGGGTTGCCTTGGAAAACACCTTCAGCCACCACTCCAAAGCTCGCGAGATTTGCCTCAAAGATGATCTCCAATTGATGAGGTACTCGTGCCTTTAAGGCACTTTGCGACCAGCTACATGCCGTTGGACAACCAGTTGATGAGACGGACAAAGTCCATTGGTTTCTTAGAATTCTTGGTGCTGATCTCTTGTCATTCTCAATTGCATAGATGGCAGTCACTCCTCTCCCCTACTTCAGTGACCCCGTGTCCAAAGCTGAAAGCTTTGAATTGTTCCAAAAATCTCTTGAATCTACAAGTCTACCTACAGCAGCGTTCACTGCCACGAATTGCATTGTTAATCGTGTGAGGGCCACCTCTCACGCACCAATCCCGGATGCAACAACAATCAAGCCTACTCTAATTGTGGCAATGGATGAAACTTCTCTGGCCAATAACGTCACCCCTCCCTCGCGATATCAGGTTTGTCGGACCAAAGGACACTATGCTGACCGTTGTGACCAGAGTTATTCTCGACTAGAAAACTCTGCTCATCTCGTCAAGGCATTCAATAAATCATGCTCTATATCTGAAAATGAGGCCTCAGATTGGTATTTGGACACTGGGGCTTGGGCCCACATGAGCACCAATCCATCTATTTTGGATCGCTCAAGTAATTACATTGGTAAGGATTGTGTAATTGTAGGAAATGGTGCTTCCCTACCTATAAGACACACTGGTACTGTCTCTCCCAATCAAAATTTTCATTTACTTGATGTTTTAGTTGTCCCTCATTTAACTAAAAATCTTGTATCCATTAGTAAATTAACTTCTGATTTTCCTTTGTCTGTCACTTTCACTAATAATTCTTTTACTATTCAGAATTGTCATACGGGAGAGGTGGTGGCAACCGGTAAACGAGATGGTGGATTATATGTGCTGGAGCGTGGAAACCCCACCTTTATTTTTGTTCTTAGTCATAGCATGCCTTGTATGATTTATGGCATGCTCGCCTTGGACATGTGAATCATTCCATTATTTCTCTTTTAAATAAAAAAGGTCATCTTTAATTTACATCTTTATTGCCTTCTCCAACACTTTGTAGCACATGTCAGATTGCAAAAAAATCATCGTTTGCCTTATTCGCATAATGAATAATGATCATCTAATGTGTTAGATTTAATTCATTATCACATATGGGGCCCATCCCCCGTTAAATCCACTTCAGATTTTGTATACTATGTTGTCTTTGCCGGTGATTTTTCTCGTTTCACTTGGCTATACCCTTTGCTTTCAAAATCTAATTTTTACAATATTTTTCTTCAATTTCAGAAATTTGTTGGAAAATCAGCATTCTGCAAGCATAAAACTTTTCAAAGTGATGGTGGCGGAGAATTTACTAGCAATCATCTCCGGCCATACCTTCATAACTCAGGCATCCATCATCAACTATCTTGCTCATACACACCTACTCAAATGGTCGTGCCAAAAGGAAACATCGTCATGTGACTAAGAGTGGCCTTGCTTTCCTTTTTCACTCTCATCTTTCTCCACGCTTTTGGGTTGACGCCTTCAGCACTGCAGTCTTCATCATCAGTCGCTTGCCCACACCACTTCTTGGAAGTAAGTCCCCTTTTGAGCTTCTTAATGGTTTACCTCCAAATAATGAAAATTTTCATCCCTTTGGTTGTCGTGTTTATCCTTGTTTGCGAGATTTCATGTCTGACAAATTTTTCCCTCATAGCATCCCATGCATTTTTTGGGATATAGTCCAGCCTGTAAAGGGTTTCGTTGCCTTGATTCCACAACCTCTAGACTATACATCACTCAGACATGCACAGTTTGATGAACATCACTTTCCTTCTTTAGAAACCTCTCATGCTCAACCTATTTCATCTCTCCAATTTTCCAATTTTTGGGAGCCCAGCTCATCCCATGCAAAACCATCTCCCCCTGAGCATCGTTCTCCTTCCATTACTACATCCAGACCTGACCTGTGTATTATTTGTACTGATCTAGTCGATGAGTCTGTGCGGGTTACTGACTCTAATGCAAGTTCTACTTTAGTTCTTGATTGATTTGTAAGCACCTTTTACATCTATATAAATAGACATAATCACTATTACTAAGAGCAATGTGGTGATTTATTCTTCAAAGATTTTCATGGTATTAGAGCCATTCTCGGATTAACATCCATTATCCTTAAATCTCATCACGGCTGTCGAATCCACACTCTTCTCTTTCAACACCATAATCCACATGGTAACAGTTAAACTCTCCTCCTCAAACTACCTCCTGTGGGAAAGGCAACTGCTCTCTCTTCTTGAGAGTCAAGCACTACTCGGTCATGTAGATGGAACCCTTGAGCCTCCACCAAGATTTGACCCACCCACTTTCCAAACACGAACACAAATACTTATAGTCACACGACATGTTGAGTGTGTGAACTATTCAATGATATGAACTCGATTTTCGATAAAAATATAAAATTAAAAAAGTATAACTATTTTCGAACTTTTCCACTTACTGAGCTATCAACTCATATATTTTTCCGTAACTTTCCTATAGGTGGCAATTGGTTCTTTTTAGTTGGAAGAGCCTAATGATTTTGGAATGAGAGCCACACGACATATTAAGTGTTATAACTCATATTGATGAAGCACAAAGTAAATAATTTTGACCCATTGCATTATGTTTTACACATGCATTTGATTTTGGTGCATTTCGAAGAAACTCATAGTCAACCTTAGTGAGAGATTTGACATCTAGTCGGCATCTATCATCGGCGCATGTCACGTTTCAGCTCCACTTGGATGATTCAGGATGGGTCGTATCATTTGCTCTTCTTGTCTTCTCTTTGCCTTTGTGGCTTGCAAAATAGCACCATATTATTGTCCCTTTGTGGGTGAGAAAAGGGAATGCAACCATAAGTGGATTGTAGTTGTGGGTTTGAAGTTTTCAATTGGATGGTTGATATATTGATTGGTAAGTTTAATTTAAGCCTAGAATCCATCGATTGAAGATCGAAATGTCAGCAATGATGGGCCATCAGCCTCCTTTGTACTTCAAACACTGTTTCATAATAATTGTGTAGTCTTTGATACCAAGTCGTTCAACACTATCAATCTGGTCATTCAGAGGAAAGGCTGCAAGATTTGGGCAGTTTTGGATATGTAAAAGATGAAGAGAGGTGTAAAAGGATTCATTAGAATGGGAAAATTGTGTTGTATTGAATTAAGGGACGTTATGTATAAAATAGTTACAGTAAAGTAAGCATTGATACTTGTTCACGAAATTATTCTTTCGATTTATATACGTAAGTGTACGGTTCGTGACAAGTAATACAATGGAAAATTGAGTTCGAATATCGTCCTACAGAGATTGATTTAGTTCAATGTTATTTATTCTAGACTTAACTGAAACTAAATTTTGACAAGTGATTTTATAACCTAATTACTCTCTGACCTAAGCTAATTATGCAGGCAATGAACAAAATGCAGATTGATGTTTGAATGAACTAAAATGCTATTAAATGTTGAGAAATCAATTTAATGTATTAAGAGATTGTATAGCGCACCAAGATCACGAATTCTAAAGTAATGTTCAATTAAACCCTAATTTCACAAATTGACAACAAGATGAAATTTTGAAGAATCAATGCTTCTAAATCTATCCAACACTGTCTCTCGCGTAATGTTAAACCTACTCCCATATACCACCGGCCTATATCTCTATGACGAGTGCAAAAATACAAGAATGTGTGCAGTTTTGTAAGCTCTTAAAGATTCACGCAGCATAACGGTATATCTCTAACGGGAAAATTTCATAGTGAAGTACATAAAAATAGTATTTGACAAGGACTAGACAGTAAAGACATATCTAAATACATTTAATCAGTGCAACTGGTAGAAAAAAATAACGTTCAAACTTTATTTAAGGTGCGATCTACACATATTCATGTGCAAACAAACATGTATGAGAATTCGGTTATAAATAAATGTCTATTGCAATAAACTTAAAAGAAATAAAATTACGTGCTAAATTTCTAGATTTTTGTCCAGCAAGACGGGGCACAACCACTTAATCGAATCACCACGTTTCGACACGACCCGATCTAACCTTTGAGTTGTAGGGAAAAGGGTGAGTACATGGGATACTCAGTAGGATATAAAAATTTATGGTGCGATCCCATATAATAATTTTAAAACATGTATCAGAATATCATATCGTCTCATATCTTTAAATTCGGCAAGAACTCATATCATATTGTTGTACCGGAGTGGCCATATTATTCACATCATAGCATATCATATTATAACTTTAACTTTCATGAGTATAAAAGTCATCAGCATGAAAAAATATTTAAACGGGAATAAAAAAAATACTGCACCTTAATATCCTACCTTATTAGATCGTTTTAATTTTTGGATGACAAAACCAAAGAAATCACGCTCCAAAAATCCTTCTCGCTGCTTCAAGAATTTATATTGTTTGAAATTGACTTTCTATTTTAAATTCCAATACCACAGGTATAAGTATCTATAATTTTTTTTTAAGGTATAAAGTAATATTCCTTTTACACTGCATAAATATGGAGTCTGTAATTTACCTGATTTCAACACTATTCTTTCTCTACAACCGTGTGCTTATACATATGTCTTCTTTTGATAATCTATAAATATATCCCACATGATCTAGTCTAACAAAGTGGGTGTGTAGTTGGGGATATGTGTAGTAGTAGGATAGGAGTATGGATAAATTTTGGAAACGAAATTTTTGAAATAAAATAATTGACCAAATCTTGTCAACCAACTTTATCACTCAACAAGCAATACCTCTCCCACACGTGGCCAACAAATTGAAACAAGAATAAATAAAGTTTCTTTCTCTCTCTTCTTTTCTTTCTCTCTCTCACTTGGTCCTATCTCCCTCTCTTCTTTTATATATTATTATTATTATTATTATTATTATTATTATTATATCTTTATTTGGATAAAAAAAATATTCAATCATAATCTACCAAGAATCTTCTCTATTCATGTGACTTGAGCAAGGGAGACTTAAATTCATTAAATAATAAATTTAAATATAATTTTAAAGCTATATCTTTCAACCTTGATAACTTGGGTTCCACTTATCCAAATTAACTTTTTCTCGAGTCTAACATGCTTGATTAATTATGACTTATCCAACGAGCCCAATGTTTATATACTTATTATCGCTTCGTCATTATCTACATTTAAGCCAAATAAAATCGAAATTTACTTTATATATACTTTAGTCCCTAAACTTTCAAAACATTAAAATATAGTGTACAAAAAAATTAAATTCCTTTCAATGAAATTTCGGGACATTACATTGGAACATTCCTACCGATCGTTTTGGCGTACATTTCATATGGTTAAGGGAGATCGTATATGGTTAAGAGTGCACCTAATTTTTTCCAACTGGATTTTTATGAATTTTATCCCATCTTCACAATTAAATTAAAAATGTGATAAACGCAGCAGATATAAAGTAAAATACCACCAAAATTGGGATGAAGTGTCGAGCTAATTTATAAATTACTACTATATTGATTGTTGCAATATCAAATGTAAAAGTGCAGATTTTATTTTCAAAATTAAATTCTTGGATAATGCTCATTAAAGTATTACAAAATTTAGATGATCATGAGAAAATTTAGTTATTTTAAAAGCAATATATTTTTTATGTAGTATCCACTATTTATCTATTTAGCGTGTAGTAGCAGCTATGTAATCTTTATGATTATCATTGGACCACATGTTATATGTAAATGATAAAAGACGTAAATGATTAAACACCAGTATCTTTACTTAAATCACTTATTATTCAATCTTTCTTTTTATTTTATAAATTAATTGCATCCAAATGAAGAGTGTTTCTGTAGTAGGATTTTACCTAGTTGGAGATATAAGTGAACACTTTTCACTATACTAAGCTATTCACCACTAGCTAAGAATAATGTCAAACATTCGTTCATTGCCTCTTGTAAATTGACATTATCCATCCCAAATCAGTCTAATGGACTAGGAATGTGATGTGTGCCGATGATAGACGTTGACTAGAGGCTAGATCCACCACCAAGGTTGACTATGACTTGCTACAAAATGTGCGCCAAAATCAAATATTTATGCAAAATATAATGCAATGGGTCCGAAAAAAATAATTACTTCATGTTTTATCAAAATGAATCGTATAACTCAATATGTCATCTGGCTCTAATTCTAATGCCACCAGCGTCCTCAAGCTAACAAGGACAATACCACTTGTAAGAAAAATTTGGAAAAATAGGAATTTATAACTCAGTGAATGGAAGAGTTCGAAAATAATTATACTTTCTCACTTAAACATTTTTCTCATATGTAGACATCAAGTTCATATCGTTTAGTAATTCACACGATAACCTCATACAATTATAGCAAAAAATGAGACATTCTCATAACTCTATAAATATCATCTCATCACATCACATATGATCCACTAAAAATGTACTCTCTAACTAAAATCTAAAATACGCCCCGAGATCTCATCACATTACATGTGATCCGCAAAAAATGTACCCTCTAAATAATTCGAAATCCACCACTCGGGCTAAGAACTTTCACCATGGGCCTTTCGCCCTCTCCGTGAACGAAAGTTGGTCTCAAGACCTCTGGTAGTCATTTCTAGAAAACGGGCAAGGCCTCTCTGTGAACTAGAAGAAGTATATAATCACTGGTACTTTTCTGGTCAATCTCAATATTACATCTCATATTCCAAATCACAAACTTTACCATATACAATCTTTGAAATTCCACATGTATCATAGTAAAAGAAACTTTTATGGTAATCATATAATTGAGCAAATAATTCACATAACTTAATAATATACTTAATTTATAATACTTTGAAATTATTTAAGTTTTTCCACTCACAGATCTATGGATAGAAATTTGATTAAATTAAAGAGCCTTTCTAAACTTTCACGTCCCTACCTGAAATAACGTATAATTTCACGAATTAAAACTTAACAATTATATTAATGCAAATCCACCGCTTAACATCTCAACTTCTATACTTACTCTTATATCTCCAATTCCCCAACTTTTCTTCTCTTTAATGATTTATCAACTAATCACCATACACTATCAAATTCATTACACCACTCACACTTCCTTAAAATCACTACCTTATACATATACAACAGCTGTACATATTTAGTCCAATACATAGACTTCAATATTTGTCATATAAATTCATTTAAACCTTTAAAAATCTAGAAATCCAAGGTTTGACAAAACAGCACCAAAATTCTAGAATATAGAAATCTAGCACCAATTTCTATATATTGAAATCTGGCATCGAAACCATTGACATTTCTGGGCAGAATTTCAGAATTAACACTTGTACTATAATAGCTTGAAGATTGCTTTAAAATAATGGAGAATTCAAATCTCAAATCCTTAATTTGAGTGTTTAGCATCATATAATCACAAGAAACTCAAAGAATATATCTTTTATCTCACAACCCATTTCCAAAATTCTACGTTCTTCATCTTCAATTTTCAAATAAATATTTCCTTGCTATATTCTTAATTAAAACCTTGAATACACATCAATAACACCTAATTCTTGCTAACTTCAAAGTTTTAGAGATAAGTTCCATAGACCCTAAAGGAGATAATTTCACATTCTTATACTTACCTCTCTAAATTAAGGGGAGAAAATGAGAAATTGAGAACCTAGCCTTGTAAAATTGGAACCTATCCCTTCCTTCTTTTTCTTTTTCTCTTCCATTTTCTTCCTTTATCTTCCGTGGTTTTGTTCTTTGTTTCTCCATTCGGTTTTTCTCCCCCGAAATGACAAAAAAGAGATCAATTATCCGATAACCATTATAAAATTGCAACTAAAGTCCCCATCCTTCATATAATATACCATTTACTCCTTTAATTCCAATAAATAGAAAACATATCCCTATATATATATATATATATATATATATACACACACACTTTTGGCCCTTAAGTACTTGTTATTAGAAATTAAGCCCCATAAAAATTATTTGTTCAACTTAAGTCCTTATTGATTTTGACTTTGACCAATTACTTTGCTTGACTTTGACTAAAAATGGGTGTCACTTTGACCAAAAATGAGTGGGGTGTAATAATCTTATCCCCTTCAAAGAATTTCGTCCTCGAAACTCAATCCACTAGAATTCGAACATATTATAAAATAAAGAAAAAATAATGAATGATTTCTCCAAGAACCTTGAATGAGGCCCAAAGTTTATTCTTTCTTATTATACATCGAATAACTTTCCTAAGAACCAATATATGATATTCTCAACTTTTCATTTTACATTTCTCATTTCTTCTTCTCTATAAATATTCACTCCCTACAATAACAATATACATATTCCACTTATCTTCTTCTCTTCTAATTTTCCATTTCACTTTTCAATTATGCTCATATACAACACACAACTTACTACTGCAGTTTTCAATTCCTCATTCTTTTCTTTCCATGCCTCAAAATTTCATTGTCAATTTAATTCTTTCAAGCACCACAACTATATGTAGAGAGAATCCAAAATTTTGTACAACTCCAAATATACTTACCCGTACTAAAGTAAGAAACTTGAGCTCACCAATTTCTTAAATAAAGAAAGAAAAACACAACACTTAGACTTTATCTCTGTTCCCTTCTATTTTTTATTTATTTTTTGGGCCATCTTGACTTCTTAACTTGTTTACCATAACTAGCATTCCATCTTCCTTGTAGTACAATGTGAAGATATGTCCTTAGTGACTTCATGTAATGTATCCACAAAATTTTGTGTGCTTAAATGACATGCTCAAAACTACCATCATATCCAACAGAACATTATTTCACCTTCTAGGCTCTAAAGTACCATAACATGTCATACCTGAAACTTTTATCAATTTTATATGATGGAATGAGATATTCTACTCATGAAATTCAACATATAACTGACAAGATAGTCATCCCAAATGAATCACAAATAACTCTTAAAAGTAAGCCATATTTATAGTTTAACACGTCGTCCTCGATAACTTATAAATCAACAAAATAAACCCAATGTTGGATACAGGGAAATCAATTCACATTTTAATAAGATTATATTATAACAAATTCTGTTTACGCAAGACTGTCATATCTTTTGTTTATCACTATTCAAAATGCCTCTCATAATAAAATAACCTTGTTAAGTGAATATCATCGTACCATTCCATATGACCACAAAATTTAATCATATCTCGTCTCAGTTGAACGAAATGATTCGTCGTACTTATCTTGTTGACCCTTACTAACTGAAAATCATCGTACCCATATTTAACAATCGAATATCAATTACACTGTATACCCAATTCAAAACCTTAATGGATATCCACACATCTCTCTTTATTGTTTTCTTTCCTTTCTTTCATTCTTTCAGTAAGGACACATACTTATATAGAACCTAATACCATTTCTTCTCTGCTACCCTTAAATTTATGCTACTATTGCATATAACCGGTACCAAGTGATTTAACACTAATTCCTACTCTTTTCTTTCTATTCTCGTTTAGTTCGACCACACGTTCCCAAATATATATTCCTATCAAAATTTTATTTCCTTGAATGGAACTCTTAATCTTTTCCTCTAATTTTTTTCCACATTTTCCTTAACTGTTGTACTGCTATACATAATTCCACTTCACACTAAATTTCATATTCTCTTCAAAAAATCATTTTCTATCTCCTTGATCCCCAAGTTTCTACGCCAATAAGTAACCCATCGAGTCAATTTTTTTCCTTCTCCAACCTCATTTATCACTAATCTTTCTCATTTTGTAACCTATCATATAATTGGTCAAGGCAGTCATAATACCATCCAAGATTTTTCTCGAAGTACACATCAATGATAATCTCCTCAATGAGTAATATACATAATAAAACATTGTATTTTATTGATTAACATTCTATATAATATTTTCATTTTATCCTTCCACAAAATTCTTATCATATAGCATAAATATACACCAACATGCTTCCAACTCTCATCCCAAAGAAATGACCACAATTCACCACAATTTCAATAGCGCTAATGATCATCCAGCTGCCCAACATAATCAAAACCCCTCACCGATTATCACCAATTACACATATTATATCATTTCGTTTTATTATTGTGCAAACTATAACTAAAGATTTTCCTATGTATACATAAAAATCATGGTAATTTTACAAATATATTGATACTTAAATGATTGTACCACCTATCACTTTGAATGCCTATATATAAACAACCTATAAAATGATCAAAATTTGTTCAACTCTTAATATGTTACACATGCCATTGTTCCAACCCAACAACTAATAACATTTCCAATCATCAGATCATTGCAACTACCATACTAGTCATTTCTGGATTTGTTAAAAATATTTTTCCATCATTTTTAGTTCCATACATTCGAGCTTGAGAGTCGTTGATTTTCGCCACCATGACATATGACCATATATACTGAATATGCATGATATGCCAATGCAAGAACTACGAAAACTTTCAAAACTTTATAAACCATGCACTAATACCACTCTGACACAACCCATCCCGAATTAGCCTAATGGACTAAGAACGTGACGTAGGCCAATGATAGATGCTGACTATATGCCAAATTCACCACCAAGGTTGACTATAACTTACTACAAAATATTTTCCAAAATCAAATATTTATGAAAAATATAATGCGATAGGTCCAAAATAATTACTTCATGTTTTACCAAAATAAATCGTATCACTCAATATGTTGTGTGGCTCTAATTTTAAAACCACTAAGCTCTTCAATCTATCAGGGACCAATACTACTTGTAACAAAAATCGTGGAAAAATATGAGTTTATAGCTCAGTGAGTGGAAGAGTTTGAAAATAATTATACTTTATCATTTAAAAAGTTTTCTCATACGTAGACATGAAGTTCATATTGTTTAGTAATTCACACGATAATCTCATACAATTATAGCAAAAAATGAGACATTCACATAATTTTATAAATATCATCTCATCACATCACATGTGATCCACCAAAAATGTACACTCAGAAAAATCTGAAATCCACCACTCGGGCTAAGAACTTTCACAATGGGCCTTTCGCCCTCTCTGTAAATGAAAGCCGGTCTCAAGACCTCTGGTAATCATTTCTAGAAAACGGCCAAGACCCCTCTATGAACTAGAAGAAGTATATAATCACTAGTACTTTTCTAGTCAATCTTAATATTACGTCTCATATTCCAATTCACAAATGTACCATATACAATCTTCGAAATTCCACATGTATCATAGTAAAAGAAACTTACATGGTAATCATATAATTGAGCAAATAATTCACATAACTTAATAATATACTTAATTTATAATACTTTGAAATTATTTAAGTTTTCCACTCACAGATCTATGGATAGAAATTTGATTAAATTGAAGAGCCTTTCCAAGGTTCCATGTCCCTACTTGAAATAACAGTATAATTTCTGGAAACAAAACCGAACAATTAAATTAATACAAATTCACCACTTAACTTCTGAACTTCTATAATGACTTATCAACCAATCACCATACACTATCAAAACCATTAAAAAACTCATACTTAAAATTTACCTTAAACATATACAACTGTTGTACATAGTTAGTCCAAGACGTAGACTTCAATATTTGTCATATAAATTCATTCAAATCTTTAAAATTTTGGAAATCCAAGGTTTGACAAAACAACACTAAAATTTTAGAATATAGAAATCTAGCACCAATTTTTGTATATTGAAACCGGCATCGAAACCATTGAAAGAAAATGCACTTTTCTGGGTAGAATTTCAGAATTAACACCTGTACTATAATAGCTCGAAAATTGCTTTTAAAAGAATGGAGAATTCCAATCTCAAATCCTTATTTTGAGTGTTTAGTATCATATAATCTCAAGAAACTCTACGAATATATCTTTTATCTCACAACCCATTTCCAAAATTCTACTTTTTCCAACTCCAATTTTCAAATAAACATTTCCTTGCTATATTCTTATTTAAAACCTTGAATACACATCAATGACACCTAATTCTTGCTAACTTCAAAATTTTAGAGATAAGTTCCATATACCTTAAAGGAGATAATTTCACATTCTTATACTTACCTCTCTAAATTAAAGGGAGAAAATGAAAAATTGGGAACCTAACCTTATAAAATTGGAACCTATCCCTTCCTTCCTTTTTTTTTTTTTTTCTCTTCCATTTCTTCCTTTTCCTTACATCATTTCATTCTTTGCTTCTCCATTCAGTTTTTCTACACCAAAATAACAAAAAAGCGATCACATATCCTTTAAGTTAGCAGATAACCATTATAAAATTGCAACTAAAGGCCCCATCCTTCATATAATATACCATTTACTCCTTTAATTCTACTAAATAGAAAACAAATCCCTAAATCTCTATATATATACTTTTGGCCCTTAAGTACTTGTAATTACAAATTAAGCCCCATAAAATTATTTGCTCAACTTAAGTCCTTATTGACTCTGACTTCGACCAATTACTTTGCTTGACTTTGACTAATAATGAGTTTCACTTTGAGTAAAAATGGGTGGAATGTAACATAAATAGACCGAGTTGTTAGGGCTAGAACAAAAACTTGAGCCACCAAAAATTTTAGAAATAATAATACTAAAGATTGTATGATAAAAGAGCTAATACGAAATTGTAAAAATTAAATTGTAGATTCAAAATGTGTCGTCATGTGACCATTTGGGCCAATGGTCGTTTTTGAGATGACCATTTGGACAGCCCCACACGGTCATCGACTATCCACTAGCCAACTAAGTTTGTAAGCAGAGCTTGTACGCTTGGGACATTGTTGTCTCTATACAAGTCTAAACGGTTCGACCCATTTGCCACCCCTAGGTAAATTTATTTAAGTATCACTCCACAAGGGCTTTAGTTTCCTGCAATCATGTACTGCAAGGAAAATTAGTTTCGGGGAATAATTTAATTGGGGAAAGGGGTCTACAGACGATTAGTCCTATCCAAGGACTAAAGGGAGAATGTAATTCCATCCTCTTTGGTAAGGACTTGATATATCGTCAATTCATCATATAAATATATCAAATTGGGAATAGGGAGTTATAAATTATTTAGGATCAGCGTGTACCCTAAGTGCCATTACCTAGTTCCTTTATCAACACCTTTCCTGTAGGTGGAAAATCTTCATCGCAAGCAGCTAGTCCTTCAAACATAATCACCCTATATTTGTGAAATATTTTTATCAAATTCGAAGATCCTTCTACTTCATAGTGAAATTAATTTGAATATATATTCAAAATTACTACTCATTATTTATATATTTCTTGGTCCCTGCCACTTTTCTTTCTAAAGAGCTACTACTTCTTGAAAATCAAATTAACAATCAACAAATTCCTCTCAATGGGCAAGGATTTTACTCCTAAACTCTCTGATTTTGATATTCAAACAGGGATAAGAGGTGAAATGGCTATTTGTTATGGAGATATTAGAATTCACTTGACATTCTCTTCTTATTTGAGAGTATTTATAAATTTCCTTCACAACTTTGATGACATTTAAGTCATTCTAGAAAATAACAGGTGATGGTTATTTATGGCCGACTTATAACTGGTTTTATTACGTATTCACGTGTTATTCATTATCTTACATGTCTTATGTTCATTGACTTAAAAACCATACTTTAAATACTTATGCACGTGTGTTCAATAATGGTTTGCGCCAATCTGTTTCTGATCGCAAGATAATTTTTATTGATTAAACAAATAGTTCCCGAAGACCAATTTTATTATTCATATTAAATATAGGCCTTGTTGTATTTCATTGTTTAACCGCAAAGTATAGGTGGTATTACTTAAGCATTTTTCTCTTTCTTTTCTACGACTGACATGTGCCATGTTAAGATGATGTGTTATGTTGTAGTCATTTTATTCGTGAGCCAGTGGGCCTGTTTTGCGTGTTTCCAGATTAGTGGTATGTGTGCATTTTAGATTCTGTGTAGATTATGCATGATCTCACTCGTTCATTATGAATTTTAGTCAACCACCTATTATAGTTTTCGGTTATGATTGTCCAAAATAATTGAAATGGCTCCGATTGTTATAAGCATAATTCAATGGCTTATGCCTTTTACAAAACTGATAAATATCTTGTTTTTTTTATGATTAGATCTCTATCTTTCGTCTTTCTTCAAAACCCTTCTTTATTTATGTGTTGACTCTCATTTACTGATATCTTCCCAAAGCGATTCTCACAAAAATTCTTATGATTCTGAAAGTTCTAAACTTAGGGATGTTCCTCTAGTGCTTCTTCCTCTTCTATAGAAGTGTTGTATACTGAGGTGCTATCTTACTCTGTAGTCACCTATTCTGGTTCTTGCATTAACCTAACATTTTAGACAAATGGACATTATTGACCCATGGTTGAGTTACGTGGTGAGGCACCCTAACCTTCAAATGAGCCAGTTAGTCTTAATGAGAATGATGAGGAGAATTTTGAAGCCTTGAAAATTTTTCAGTAATTTGAATAAAATTTGGAACCAATTTAATGTCCTTGATGATTTAGAATTACTATGTACTGAATAATTAGAAAGTGCAAACCATCCCACTTGTGATTGTATAGATATTCATAAATATTCAATAGATATGGGGCTTAGAGTCCATTTTTACCACTTTTTCCACAATGTTCCTTTTTTCTTTAATATTGCTCCTATATAACTTGCTTCAAATAGGTGGGCCCAAATGGTTAGATCTTTTTTATTATGGGGGTGCATGAGTTTAGAGGGAAAGTTTTCACCAAATGTATTTCAATTATTTATCATTTCATGCAAGCGAAAAAAAAAAAAACCCTCAAAAGGGGCATATTACCCTTCTCTTCATTCTCCTAAGATATGCACAAAACTTGTAGTTACTCCTAATAAAGTACATAGCTGTGAGAAGAATTTTTCTTCGTTCGATGCAACTGGGGGTTTCAACTGACCTTGGGCCGTTAGTCGTTATGCCTCGAATCTATGGCACATATAGTTAAGTGTTGTTTCGTTGTTTGTCTTTGTTGCTTTAACATTGATATTATTTTACTGTTTTGCGTAGGTACATGTAAACTATTAGGGGCCCTTTGTAGTCAAACTGCTAACGATCTTCATGCCTTAGTAGCACATATTCTTAGTTTGAGTTCTGAGTTTCATGAAGCCAAAAGATTGTTCCATCGTTTCAACTTAAATTTTTACAATATTGGCATTCAAACTATTACGGGTGAGTTTATGCATTAGGCTTTTCGTCTTTTATTCTATTTCTTAATCGTCACGCAATTTTTAATTCTTTTTTTGATTTTATAGTGTGATTTGATTTTAATGCAACTCCTTTCATGGCCTCCTAGCGCCAGAAGATTTCAACACCTCCTCTGTCCTAGGACTTCTTCAAAGGGTCTGAGAGGGCTAGTACTGTTCCTTCACTTACTTTAATCATTTATTGAAAAAGTTAGCAGAAACACTTACCCGACAAAAAGGAAAAAAAATAATCCACTCATATCCAATGTGAGCTGCGGTATTACACCACGACCATTAAATATATTATGAAATTGGCATTGTTGGTTGATAGTTTGGACAAGAAAGCTTAGTCCTCCGAGAATTGATGTGACACTCTTCAAAGGAAATTAGAAGACTTCGAGAAAGAGAAGGGTAAGTATAAAAAAGTGTGTGTAAAAAAATGTGTAAAACTGTTGAGACTTAAGCTAACAAAGAGGCTACTGTATTAGCCGACCTTTGTGGGGTGGAATTTATTCACTGTATGTCCTTGGCAGAATAAGTCTCGCCACTGGTTAGAATTTCACTATCGACGAAAAGCGGCTCATGTTCCATCCTTCTTGTGCTTTCATAAGAGTTTTCATTTGTGTGACAACGGACGGAGAGAGAAGTGGTTTTTTCAACCGCAGTTTGCTAAAAGAGGGAGATTTTTGTGGTGAAGAACTTCTAACTTGGGCACTGGATCCCAAATGCGGTTCGTCTTCTACTCGAACAGTGAAGGCATTGATTGAGGTTGAGGATTTCGCCCTAACAGCCGATGAATTAAAATTTGTTGCAGGTCAGTTCAGACGACTTCACAGCAGACAGGTTCAACACACCTTCCGGTTCTATTCACAGCAGTGGAGGACTTGGGCCGCATGCTTTATCCAAGCAGCCTGGAGGCGGCACTGCAAAAGGAAACTTCTGGAGCTTCATAGGAAGGATGAAGCAGCCGAAGAGTTAGCTAGGGCCAGCACAAAAGCCGGAGGAGGCTCATATAGCATTGGTGTGACGTTCTTGGCAACAAGATTTGCAGCAAATGCTTTCAGGGGACTACACAGAAATCGGAATCTTAGGAGTGCTCGGGAATTGGTGAAACTCCAAAAGCCACCGGAGCCCGACTTTACTGCCGATGCAGATTGATTTGTCTTCGAACTTGTAAGTTGATTAAATGACTCTTCTACGCGAGAATGTTATGGTCATTAAGTTTTTTAATTATAAAAGTTGAATAAATTAAAAGGCAATAGCTCTATTAAAAAAATGATAATTATGTTGGTGTAAATTTTTATCTTTTCAAATTAATTTCTTTTTTCTTTTACATTTTCACCCTAATTTCTGTGATCTTTTATTTAATTTCATCAAATTTGCACAATAAAATACTATAAAAGTATTAAATGATTCACCATATGAAAAAATAAAAATTAAATGTACCCAAATTTATCGTTAATGGGTGCTTTTGTCTATCTATAATAATTAATTAGAAAAATTAACTTAATTTTGTCAATTGTTGTGGCATATAAAATTTATTTAATTATTATAAACGGTTCCACATTCCAACCCTTGACCCTTTAGCTTTTTCGGGTCAACATCCTGGCCGAATTTCAGGACATAGATAAAAATACAGCGATGCTAATTTAATTACCCAACAATAATTTCTAATAATTCTATAATTAGATAATTTTTGAGTTTTCAAAAACGAAACAATTGAAAATTAATAGTAGAGAGCCCTCTTTGTGGCAAATGGGCCCAAGAATTTAGGTCTTAGAAATTGCTCCATAAGAATTGAGAAAACTTTTTAAAAAGCCCAACTTTTTAACGTCTAAGCTTGTCTATGCTCACATTAGACTGTTAAAAGAGGCCAACTTTTTTTACACCTTGTCCTTACGTGGGACATTTTGAAAACACCTCATGTCTAGGTGGCACCACTTCACGCCTTATACAACTCAATTACCCATTTAAGCGGGAAGAATTTGGCCCAAGACTAACTGGGATTATTTGTTCATATGCTTTCACAAGTTCTTGATAAGTTATTCTTACTGGCATGTACATTTTTCAACCAACCCTTTAGCATCAAAAACTTATTTTCCTATAAGGATTTTAAAGCATATCGTTCTTGTTTTCTACCATTAGTATCGTATTAACAACTAGAGCCCTTGGGAATGCATAGTGCTAAGGTGGCATATGTGCACAGTCACCCGGTTATTCTTGATACTTGTTATTCCTTTTACAGTTTCAAATTTTATTCATAGACGATAAATGTGGAGACGATAGAAATCAGATCAACAAATTCCTCACACCTAGCAGCATTTCACATCTTAATCTCACTAGTTCTGATGCTTAAACCAAAGCAAGAGGAGAAATGATTATTTAGGAGGGAGATATTTAAATTTGCATGGTTCACTTCTCTTTCGTGGCGATATTTGTCAATTTCTATCTGGGCTTTGGGACAATTATGTCATTTAGAAAAAAATGATAGATGATAGCCTTTTATTGGCTATCTTATAACTAATTCTATTTCGGAATTATGTTATTTTCCTCACGTATCACTTCTAGTTCCCAGGTAGGGAATGGGCTTGCATAATTGATAATTGATTCCTTGATTCAAAAAGTAATTCTCAAAGTCCGATTTTGTTATTAATATTAAATCTAGGACTTGTTGCGGTCTTTTTAATTGGAAACTTATCGATAACATTTATTGGCGCATATTTCTCTTTATTTGTTGTGGGCTGACATGGGCTATCTTAAGGAGACGTTTTACGATTTGGAGCAATTTTTGCTTGCGACTATAGGGCCTATTTGCACCTTTCCAGTTAGTAACATGCATGCATTCAATGCTCATGTTAGTTACGTGCAATAGTGTCCATTCCTTTTGAGTTTGTTTGAGTATAGAGCCTAGGTGCTTACAATCTACTAAAACCTATAAATATATTATTCATCTTTGCATGTTCCTTTCTTACTTCTTTTCCATTGCTTTTCGCTTACTATGCCATGTATCCTCTCTTTTATGATTCTATCTTTTGTCTTCTTGTATCTTTCCTAAAACTTTTCTTAGGTACACATTCCACTTTCTCTGTTGAAAAAAAAAAAGTTATAAAACTTTCAAATTATATTTTAAACATTCGGTTTTAGTTTTTAATTTTTCAGTTTTGTTTTTAGTTTTAGATTCAATATAAAATTTAATCCCATTATTATATTTGTAAAATATGTTGAATTAGTGAGATGGTTGAATTATTCTACTATAAAAAGGGGCGAATTTCACATTCTTTGACACAACAAAATCAAACACAAAAATACTCACTACTCTATTTCATACTACTCTCTTGTCATTTTATCTTCTTCTATAAACTTTTGGCAATTGATAAGGGCTTGTTCTTTCTCTCCATGTGGTTGTGCCCATAGAAGGAGAATCGACTGTGAGCTATAAGGGTTTTATCTTGGAGCCATGTAGTCCCAACAGTATCCGCATGAAAGGGAGGCCACACGACTTTAGGACAGCGATTATCGTGACTCTCTTAGGCCAGCTTTTCTAACTATATTCTCATATTTACTTTATTTGATTCATGTTTATTATATTACATTGCACAAATCACGTTAATTTTTACGACAATCTAAAGTCGTGTGTGGGGTTTGTGTGATAATAATACTTGGTAGTTGCTAACATATTCATTGTTATCATGCTTCAATTTTTTTATTCTATTAAATTTTAGAACCTTTTATAATTTTCATTTTGACACTCACTACATAAATTTTCATTTTGGAAGCTCATAGAAATTTTATTGATTTAGTATTGTACTCTTCAAAACTGCTTCAATATTTTTAGTTTTAAGCACTTATTTCATTTGATAACTTAGTGGAAAGTTTTAAAACTTATATTATTTACTTGATTGATTGACTTGAACATAAAATTAATTGTGACTATGTCATTTTAAACTTCAATATTCATTTAATTTGTTATATTGTTACTTGGAATATTTGAATTAATATTGTTTTGAATATTGGACTTAGTTGAAAATTTTTTATTATTGGTCTTGTCTATTGACAAAGTAGTATTTATATGTTTATAGTTAATTCTCTTTGCCTTAGTAATTCATAGTGTAATAATGACATCTTGTGAAGATACTAATAATGCTAAACCGGAAAATTTTGATGGAAAAAATTTAAATGATGGGAAAAAAATAGAATATTGGTTGACCATTTTAGGGTTAATTTCTGCAATAAAAGAAGGTAATAAAGGTAGAGAATCTACCTCTTGGTATAACCCTAAACTGACATAGATAAAAATACAGCGATGCTAATTTAATTACCCAACAATAATTTCTAATAATTCTATAATTAGATAATTTTTGAGTTTTCAAAAACGAAACAATTGAAAATTAATAGTAGAGAGCCCTCTTTGTGGCAAATGGGCCCAAGAATTTAGGTCTTAGAAATTGCTCCATAAGAATTGAGAAAACTTTTTTAACGTCTAAGCTTCTCTATGCTCACATTAGACTGTTAAAAGAGGCCAACTTTTTTTACACCTTGTCCTTACGTGGGACATTTTGAAAACACCTCATGTCTAGGTGGCACCACTTCACGCCTTATACAACTCAATTACCCATTTAAGCGGGAAGAATTTGGCCCAAGACTAACTGGGATTATTTGTTCATATGCTTTCACAAGTTCTTGATAAGTTATTCTTACTGGCATGTACATTTTTCAACCAACCCTTTAGCATCAAAAACTTATTTTCCTATAAGGATTTTAAAGCATATCGTTCTTGTTTTCTACCATTAGTATCGTATTAACTACTAGAGCCCTTGGGAATGCTTAGTGCTAAGGTGGCATTTGTGCACAGTCACCTGGTTATTCTTGATATTTGTCATTCCTTTTACAGTTTCAAATTTTATTCATAGACGATAAATGTGGAGACGATAGAAATCAGATCAACAAATTCCTCACACCTAGCAGCATTTCACATCTTAATCTCACTAGTTCTGATGCTCAAACCAAAGCAAGAGGAGAAATGACCATTTAGGAGGGAGATATTTAAATTTGCGTGGTTTACTTCTCTTTCGTGGCGGTATTTGTCAATTTCTATCTTGGCTTTGGGAAAATTATGTCATTTAGAAAAAAATGATAAATGATAGCCTTTTATTGGCTATCTTATAACTAATTCTATTTCGGAATTATGTTATTTTCCTCACGTATCACTTCTAGTTCCCAGGTAGGGAATGGGCTTGCATAATTGATAATTGATTCCTTGATTCAAAAAGTAATTCTCAAAGTCCGATTTTATTATTAATATTAAATCTAGGACTTGTTGCGGTCTTTTTAATTGGAAACTTATCGATAACATTTATTGGCGCATATTTCTCTTTATTTGTTGTGGGCTGACATGGGCTATCTTAAGGAGACGTTTTACGATTTGGAGCAATTTTTGCTTGCGACTATAGGGCCTATTTGCACCTTTCCAGTTAGTAACATGCATGCATTCAATGCTCATGTTAGTTACGTGCAATAGTGTCCATTCCTTTTGAGTTTGTTTGAGTATAGAGCCTAGGTGCTTACAATCTACTAAAACCTATAAATATATTATTCATCTTTGCATGTTCCTTTCTTACTTCTTTTCCATTGCTTTTCGCTTACTATGCCATGTATCCTCTCTTTTATGATTCTATCTTTTGTCTTCTTGTATCTTTCCTAAAACTTTTCTTAGGTACACATTCCACTTTCTCTGTTGAAAAAAAAAAAGTTATAAAACTTTCAAATTATATTTTAAACATTCGGTTTTAGTTTTTAATTTTTCAGTTTTGTTTTTAGTTTTAGATTCAATATAAAATTTAATCCCATTATTATATTTGTAAAATATGTTGAATTAGTGAGATGGTTGAATTATTCTACTATAAAAAGGGGCGAATTTCACATTCTTTGACACAACAAAATCAAACACAAAAATACTCACTACTCTATTTCATACTACTCTCTTGTCATTTTATCTTCTTCTATAAACTTTTGGCAATTGATAAGGGCTTGTTCTTTCTCTCCATGTGGTTGTGCCCATAGAAGGAGAATCGACTGTGAGCTATAAGGGTTTTATCTTGGAGCCATGTAGTCCCAACAGTATCCGCATGAAAGGGAGGCCACACGACTTTAGGACAGCGATTATCGTGACTCTCTTAGGCCAGCTTTTCTAACTATATTCTCATATTTACTTTATTTGATTCATGTTTATTATATT